TATACTGCAAATATTTAAAGTATTGAGAGCCCTTAGTATGCTGCTAATATTTAAAGTATTAAGAGCCCTTAGTATACTGCTAATATTTAAAGTATTAAGAGCCCTTAGTATACTGCTAATATTTAAAGTATTAAGAGCCCTTAGTATACTGCTAATATTTAAACTATTGAGAATCCTTAGTATACTGCTAATATTTAAAGTATTAAGAGCCCTTAGTATACTGCTAATATTTAAAGTATGAGGACTCTTAGTATACTGCTAATATTTAAAGTATTGAGAGCCCTTAGTATGCTGCTAATATTTAAAGTATTAAGAGCCCTTAGTATACTGCTAATATTTAAAGTATTAAGAGCCCTTAGTATACTGCTAATATTTAAAGTATGAGGACTCTTAGTATACTGCTAATATTTAAAGTATTGAGAGCCCTTAGTATGCTGCTAATATTTAAAGTATTAAGAGCCCTTAGTATACTGCTAATATTTAAAGTATTAAGAGCCCTTAGTATACTGCTAATATTTAAAGTATTGGTAATCCTCAGTATACTGCTAATATTTAAAGTATTAAGAGCCCTTAGTATGCTGCTAATATTTAAAGTATTAAGAGCCCTTAGTATACTGCTAATATTTAAAGTATTGAGAGCCCTTAGTATGCTGCTAATATTTAAAGTATTAAGAGCCCTTAGTATACTGCTAATATTTAAAGTATTAAGAGCCCTTAGTATACTGCTAATATTTAAAGTATTAAGAGCCCTCAGTATACTGCTAATATTTAAACTATTGGGAATCCTTAGTATACTGCTAATATTTAAAGTATTGTCATTTGCTGTGATTTCTGCTGCTGTAAATGAGATGATAAAAAATTATATTTTCTGTAGCCCACTAGTGTTCCCACTTACTCTGGTAAATATGCAGTAACATGACAAATTTGTTTAAGGTAATAAGTTTTCTTGAGTTTGACAAATTAAATAATGTGTGTATATTACTTCATTGTAGCCAAGTTGATGAAAAATTACAAAGTTTGAAATGGATTATTTCACCTTATTTGCATATTCCAGAAACTAATGATTTATTAATTATTTTAGTTTTTTGGAGGAACAATAAGATCAAGTGGGTCCAAACACCATCTTGACCTAGCTGATCAAAGTGACAGAATGGAGGTAAGCAAACAGTACCGTAATACAAATAATTTTTTTACTGCTGTATAATTTACTGTACCTGTACATTATTCCAGACTGAAACCTATCGACACCCAGGTCTATACCTATTGGCACCCAGACCAACACCTAATTGGCACCCAGATCGACACTTATTGGCATCCTGACCAACACCTATTGACATCCAGACCAATACCTGTTGACACCCAGGCCAATACCTATCGGCACCCAGACCAACACCTATTAGCACCCAGACTGACACTTGTTGGTATCCAGACCAACACTTGCTGGTATCCAGACTGATACCTGTTTGTATTAAGACTGACACCTGCTGGTACCCAAGATGACACCTATTGGCACCAGGCCAACACCTGTTGGCACCCAGACTGACACCTATTGGTGCCCAGACCAACACCCATTGGCACCCAGACCGACACCTATTGGCACACAGACCGAACCTATCGGCACCCAGATCAACACCTATTAGAACCTAGATCAACACCTATTAGCACCCAGACTGATACCTATTAGCACCCAGACCAACACTTATTGGCACCCAGACCTACACCTATTGGCACCCAGGCCAACACTTGTTGGTACCCACACAGACCAATACTTGCTGTTATCCAGACTGACACCTGTTGGTATTAAGACTGACACCTGCTGGTACCCAAAATGACACCTATTGGTACCCATACCGACACCTATTGGCACCCAGACTTTCACCTATTAGCACCCAGTCTGACACCTATTGGCACCCATACCGACACCTATTGGCACCCAGACCAACACCTATTGGCACCCAGACTGACACCTATTGACACTCAAATCGATACCTATTAGCACCTAGATCAACACCTATTAGCATTCAGACTGATACCTATTGGCACCCAGACCAACACTTGTTGGCAACCAGACCTACACTTATTGGTACCCAGACCAACACTTGTTGGTACACAGACTGACACCTATCGGTACCCAGAACGACACTAGACTGACACCTGCTGGTACCCAAGATGACACCTATTGGCACCAGGCCAACACCTGTTGGCACCCAGACTGACACCTATTGGCACCAGGCCAACTCCTGTTGGCACCCAGACTGACACCTATTAGCACCCAGACTGACACCTGTTGGCACTTGGACCAACACCTATTGACACCCAGGCCAATACCTATCGGCACCCATACCAACACCTATTAGCACCCAGACTGACACTTATTGGCACCCAGACTTACACTTGTTGGCACCCAGACTGACACCTATTGGTGCCCAGACCAACACCTATTGGCACCCAGACTGACACCTATTGGTGCCCAGACCAACACCTATTAGAACCTAGATCAACACCTATTGGCAACCAGACCAACACCTATTGGCACCCATACCAACACCTATTGGCACCCAGACCTACACCTATTAGCACACAGATCAAAACTTGTTGGTACCCAGACCAACACTTGTTGGTATTAAGACTGACAGCTGCTGGTACACAGACTTTCACCTATTGGCACCAGGCCAACACCTATTAGCACCCAGACTGACACCTATTGACACTCAAATCGATACCTATTAGCACCTAGATCAACACCTATTAGCATTCAGATACCTATTGGCACCTATACCGACACCTATTGGCACCTATACCGACACCTATTGGCACCCAGACTTTCACCTATTGGCACCCAGACCAACACCTATTGGCACCCAGACTGACACCTATTGGCACCCAGACTAACACCTATTGACATCCAGACTGACATCTATTGACACTCAAATCGATACCTATTAGCACCTAGATCAACACCTATTAGCATTCAGACTGATACCTATTGGCACCCAGACCGACACTTGTTGGCAACCAGACCAACACCTATTGGCACCCAGACCTACACCTATTGGCACCCAGACCAATACCTGTTGACACCCAGGCCAATACCTATCGGCACCTAGACCAACACCTATTAGCACCCAGACTGACACTTGTTGGTATCCAGACCAACACTTGCTGGTATCCAGACTGATACCTGTTTGTATTAAGACTGACACCTGCTGATACCCAAGATGACACCTATTGACACCAGGCCAACACCTGTTGGTACCCAGACTGACACCTGTTGGTACCCAGACCAACACCTATTGGCATCCAGATCAACACCTATTGGCACACAGACCGAACCTATCGGCACCCAGATCAACACCTATTAAAACCTAGATCAACACCTATTAGCACCCAGACTGATACCTATTAGCACCCAGACCAACACCTATTGGCACCCAGACCTACACCTATTGGCACCCAGGCCAACACTTGTTGGTACCCACACAGACCAATACTTGCTGTTATCCAGACTGACACCTGTTGGTATTAAGACTGACACCTGCTGGTACCCAGAATGACACCTATTGGCACCCAGGCCTACACCTATTGGCACCCAGACCGACACCTATTGGCACCCAGACCGACACTTGTTGGTACCCAGACGAACACTTGTTGGTATTAAGACTGACAGCTGCTGGTATCCTGACCAATACCTGTTGACACCCAGGCCAATACCTATCAGCACCCAGACCCACACCTATTAGCACCCAGACTGACACTTGTTGGTATCCAGACCAACACTTGCTGGTATCCAGACTGATACCTGTTTGTATTAAGACTGACACCTGCTGATACCCAAGATGACACCTATTGGCACCAGGCCAACACCTGTTGGCACCCAGACTGACACCTATTGGCACCAGGCCAACTCCTGTTGGCACCCAGACTGACACCTATTGGTGCCCAGACCAACACCTATTGGCACACAGACCGAACCTATCGGCACCCAGATCAACACCTATTAGAACCTAGATCAACACCTATTAGCACCCAGACTGATACCTATTAGCACCCAGACCAACACCTATTGGCACCCAGACCTACATATATTGGCACCCAGGCCAACACTTGTTGGTACCCACACAGACCAATACTTGCTGTTATCCAGACTGACACCTGTTGGTATTAAGACTGACACCTGCTGGTACCCAGAATGACACCTATTGGTACCCAGATCAACACTAGACTGGCACCTATTAGCACCCAGTCTGACACCTATTGGCACCCATACCGACACCTATTGGCACCCAGACTTTCACCTATTGGCACCCAGACCAATACCTGTTGACATCCAGACCAATACCTGTTGACACCCAGGCCAATACCTATCGGCACCCAGACCAACACCTATTAGCACCCAGACTGACACTTGTTGGTATCCAGACCAACACTTGCTGGTATCCAGACTGATACCTGTTTGTATTAAGACTGACACCTGCTGGTACCCAAGATGACACCTATTGGCACCAGGCCAACACCTATTAGCACCCAGACTGACACCTATTGACACTCAAATCGATACCTATTAGCACCTAGATCAACACCTATTAGCATTCAGACTGATACCTATTGGCACCCAGACCAACACTTGTTGGCAACCAGACCTACACTTATTGGCACCCAGACT